GCTCTCTACTCCATGTCCTGAGACTATATGTATATATAATTATAGTTGACATACTATATTATTCAACATCAGCTTCAGAAATACTTTTAAACTTCCATATTATTCATCGTATAGTTAGAGAAGAAGGAAATGCCAAAATGAGGAAACAGAATAAACAAAGCTATGAAGATGGGAAAAAAATCATCACGTTTGGCAAAACGTTGATATCACTTTGCTCATAGCAGAGTGTGTGTGAAAGAGACTTGGGGGGATCTCTGTAGTAAAGGCAGGTTAACTGAATGATTTCGTATTTGACTTTGGAGGTGCTGGGGGGACATTTAGTGGTAACATTATTAGGTCTGAGGTTTAGAATCATTAATCAGGTAGCATTAATCAGGTAGATTAGTCAAGTAAATTAATCTGGTAGATTAATCTGGTAACAATGTGTCATATTGATTGAAGGAAGTAGACTGGGGTCAGAGAGGCTAGAGGAGATTGCCAAGGTTGAGAACAGAGACACAAAGTAGAAGACAGGCACAGATAGCTTATCTTGGTTTGTCACCTCTCTTCCATTTATCAGTAATTTTCTTGGGCGTTGTTAAAACTCTTATACCACTTAGCAGTGAGGTTATATGTCCCAAGAACATTTTCCCATGTCAATAATTAGAGCATCCACTTCTCCTCATTTGAATTGAAAGGTTAATTGTAAAATATTTTGTTCCTTTATTTCTTGGCCTTAGCACATATCCTGTTCCTCTCCCTGAAACAGTTTCACAAAAAAATTTTCCATTATTCACACGTTCTCTTTTGGCACAATTTTGACGGGTTCGTGTAATACTCCAACAAGGCGTTTAATCTCCATTTTTCTCATCCTTTTCTTATATTCTTATAAATTTTTAAATGTTTTAAGTAGAGCTTTTTTTTTCCCCTCACCTTAGATTCACTCATTCTTCTTTGATTTTTAGGTAATTCGGTTTGTCATTATTATCATTTCTCTATCTGTACTATCAAATGCAGTATAGCATTTGAATTCTTCTGTACTTGGGTCTCCGTTTTGTTCTTTCAGGCCTTTGACTTTCCTTCCTGAAAGCTTTGTTATCACTTTTTAACCATATCACACTATTTTATAAAATAGAATTCAAAATATTTTAAACATTTGACAGAAGAAATGGATATTTGCTCCCCCTTTTAATGCCAAGATTACTTCCATTTCTTAATATTATAAAAATAATTTCTTTATCCTTCTTACAAATCTTAAAAATTGTTCCATTTAAAAAATATGTTTATCGTAATATTATGTTAAAGGAAGGCCTCATCTCCTTTGCAACACATGAACTTTATTTATTCTTGCCCTATTCCAACAAAGCCCATGGTTCACTCCCCTCTTTTTGTTTAGATGTTTCGAGCTCTTAGCATGCCCAGCTTCATAAGTACCCTTCAATTATTCTTCTTGTAAATTGATTCTAAACACTTGGCTTTAAATTTTTTTTTTGGTTACCTCCACTGTTCCCTTTCTTAAGATGCACCTGAAATCCCCTCTCAATACCACTCATTCAGATATTAGAAAAGACCCACATCCTTAAGTAGTTTTTCTTTTTACATTTCTCTTATGGAGTATATGTTTTCATAAACCTGATCTTTTACCTTTTTCAAATTATATCATTTCCACAATCACATATCTTTCCCCACTCCCCAGATCCCATAGACCTTACAAACATCTAAACCACACATTAAACATCTCTGTGTGTCTTGTTCTTGCCCTGTTGACTTCCGTGAAGAGCCCTTCAAAAATAATACGTTTCCCTGACTGGATTCTGTTTATGGTATCTGGATTGAATAAAATGTTGCTTCTTCCCAAGCTTAGCATGAGCTTCTAGATTCTTTGATTTGGGTATAAATATTACCTGCTATTGACTGAGTCCTGACACCAGCTTATTTAATCTTCCCAACAGCCCTTCATGGTAGACATAGATAACCTTGTTTTACAAATGGAGTGTTTTCAGTATGCAAAGAGTCACCCAGAGGAAAAAGGATGGTAGGGTCTGAAATCAATGTGCAGAATCAGAATTAGTGTGTTAAAAGGGCCAAGAATTTGCTCACACTTATTCTGCTGGTAACGTCAGAGCTGGCATTGGATGCAGTTCTATCAGAACCAGCCTTGAGTGTGTGAGCCTATAGTGGGCTCACCAGGGAGTCATATCTTGGTGAATAAGGACTTTCTGGAAGACAAGTCCATTTCAGGCCACCCAAAAACTCTGATCCAATAATGGGATCAAAGACATCGGAATCTACTATTGCTGAAATCTCTGAAGTCAAGGAGAAATGAGTGTCTTTGTAGATTGGTTTCATTTCCCCTGAAATGTGTGGTTTAGGCCCAGCTACTGTGTATGTTGATACTTTCTTTAAAAATCTGGTCACACTTTTACCTTTTAAAATTGCAAAAACATCACCTCTGACTCCCTGTCATTGATAGGAAGTAACATTCATTTAGAAGCACATCTTTTCCCTCAACGCTATCACACTATCTGCCTTCTGTACTTTCAATGGAATGAGAGTTCAAGTATAACCCAAATAATAACCTGCAATTTCTACAGAAAAAAATATCAGCAGTGCTAAAATGAAACTAGATATTTTTCATTTGTTATTATTATAGAATGCATGTGTAGAATATAAAAATAATAATTTGCACTCACCCAACTTCTTTCATTCTATGTCTCAGATCCCTGAGTGTACATGGGCTCATTAAGTTTTTCCAAAGCAATTTAATTCTAACATGTTCTTGAACCCTCTCTTCAAATCCACAGAGGTTTTCCTGTCACAAATGCTGAACATTATCTGAAATTCTGAGCATACTGAAGATATGTTTGACCTTCTGCTGATAAAAATGACTCACTTAATCATTGAGTTATATACTAAAATAGACAAAACTACCTAAATAAAAAAGGAAAGAATTATTAATTGTATATGTACCTAAATCTACCCATACATCCACAAACACTCACATGCACACAATAACTGAGTTTATGTATAATTGGATTAATAAAAGAACAGTTAGAAGGATGAGAGGAAATGTGTTATCTAGATCTATAGAAACAAAACCTATTGGTTTCTAAAATGCCATTCACTTATTCAGCAAATGTTACTCAAAGGGCTCATAACCTTCTAGAGACTATGGAAGATAAAAAGATAAATTACCAATGTATGCATTGTTGAACTGTGTAACCCCAGAGCCTAATACTGTGGCTGGTATACAGTTGGTGTCAATGGGTTTAATGACTATATAGTGAAATAAGAATGTCCTTAACTGATCTAGAAGTTCAAAGGAAGGAGATATTACTTCTTTCTGGCATGACCCAGGAAGGCTTTCTAGAGGACAGTCTTAAGGAGTGGGGGATTGGTGTAAAGGAGAAAATAACATACCAGGCCGAGGCCAATATATAAACACAAAGAAAGAGAGGCCAGAAAGTGCAAGACTGTCAGCCTGACAGTCTAGCATAGGGAAAGTATAAAGGAAACCTATAAAGAAGAAAAATTAGACAAAGCTGAAAAGTTACATTGAGGCCAGACTCCTGCAACCCAGCAATGCTGTTTCAGAGTCCAGGTTTTGTTCTTGGAGAAAACTCTGAATACTTGTGTTTAGATTCTTATACACCAGCTTTGTTACTTGCCAAGTGATTATTCTTGATCCTGATCTGAAGCTGTCAGGAAGAGTCCTCAGGAAGAGTTCCTAATTATATCAGCAGCTGCTCTCCAAGAAACTGCTCCAAGGAGAAGGCTGTGAAGACCACCAGCCCCAAGAGTGAAGAAAAAGACTAAGAAAGTATGAGAGATGTTTCTAAAAATAATTAATGTTGGACAGTTCCATGAGTTCCAAGGCTGCTATTAGACGCCTGAATATTTAATGTAGCACTTTCAACACGGATTACTTTAGCTCTAGTCTGCAAAGACCTAACTTGATACACAAATCTTAAAAGGGGAAAAGGACTCCAAGAGAGAATAAGCCTCTTCAGAGATGTCTAATGCACCATGAAATATCGCCTCTGGCTAATGAGGCACTGATTCTTAAAGCAAAACGGCATAGAGTAGGGTTCCCGAAACACAAAGTCGTTCCATTCATTCTCACTCCATTCAAACACAAAACGACCATGAACTGTAGAGAAAAAAAGATACAATGCATGCCTTACGTAACTTACAATTAAGCTGGAAAAAAAAAAGGCACTCTTAAGTTCTAGAATAGTTGTATGATTTAACTTTAGTTCCTCAATTACCTCATGGGTTTAATATTACTATTTCCATTTTCCAGTTGAGAAAATTACGGTTAAAGGATTTCAGTAATTTCCCCAAGCTGCACAAATAGCAGAGCTCCGATCCAAACCTAAATTTGTCTAACTCCAGAGTCCATACACTTTCTCTTGCACCATTATGGCCCTACAACCTACCTTAGTGTATGGGGAGTGTTACAGGCATTAGCTAAAAGCAGGATCCTGAGCATAAGACTAGGTTCTAGGTCTTGTCTCCACTTCTTGTTAGCTCTGTGACCTTGTACCTGCTATTCACTTTTTTATGCTTCATTTTTCTCAATTGTGAAACAGGGGAGAATTAATATTAGAATGATACTCTCTACCTTGTAAGGTTGTTTAGAGATTTACATGAAATAATACATGTACAGTGCAGAGGAGAATGGCAGGCCCAAAGAAAATGCTATTATTTGATAGTGAAATGTCATGACAAAAGCAATAATTTAGACAATTCAATGCACATTTTCTTGATCTGAATCAACACCCCAAGTCTTCCTTCAATTAAAAAAAAGAAATCCCTGTAAAATATTATGCAGCAGTTTCTTTGAACACAAAGGAATATATGCGATAGTAACATGATACCAAAACGTCACAAGAACCGCATCGCTTTTTGGAAAAAGCAACTCTAGCTCTGCTGTCTTGACACTGATAAATTTGACTGATTAACATTTTTGTTATCTGTTTCTTTCCTGCCAGTACAAACATACAGATAAGACGATATGTTTCCGTAGTTTACAGACTTACCCACGGATGTGTGAGATCCATATCTGTACAAGAAGATGTGAGACGTGGGTGGTGAGTGCAGTGAAAACAGTTGTCCCAGGGGCTTACTTGGGCAATTTGGAAATCAACACATGTCCAGGGTGGGTTTTCTGAAAAAGGCTTCCAAGTGTTCCACATCTGAACTTGACCTTCATTGTGCCATAACATTTCTGCCAAGCTGCACCCAGGTGAAGTGTTGGATCTAAACAGTGGTGCAGATATAGAATCCAATCTAATCTCCATTTCTTCCTTTCTCCTTGTGCTAACATTATTAACTTTCTTTTCTTGGGATTTGGCTAATTTCATACAGGAAATCCCTTTTCTGTCTTCATCTGAATGATAAATAAAAATAAGTTAAAAATTAAGTCTAACATTTTATACATATAGGAATTATTAATATTTTACTTCCCTTTATGTAATAGAAATGAACACCAGAGGATAAACCAGAAAGTCATTTAATTTAACAAAATAATGTACAATGCATTTTTTTAAAGAGTGAGTTGTTTGTATAGTGAATGATTTGTAAAAACAGAATTACCTAAAATTTTTTCAAACCATATTTAATGATTACAGTCATTTAGATTGGAATGACTGAAAGCCACAAGCAAATAGTATACTGAAAGATATTTGAAAAAAAAAATACAATTGCAAAGAAATTCTCCACATTTTATAAGCATCATATGGTGTGCTTCTATTCTTAAGTATTTTTAAGTTTTTGAGGACATGTGTGTAAGAACAACATTAAGAAGCAAATGCAATTTTTGCCTTACTTAAAAGAATGAAACCTCAGTGGATATGGGCTGAAGTCCTATTGGTATTATAGAATTTTCTATCTTAATATCAACCTGCAAGGAGCTTTATGCATGTAACGTGTCTCAAAGTACAATATTTTGAAAAAGCAAGAACAGAACTGAGAAAATGAAAGAAAAAGGTGCATCTTTAATACTATAAAGTTAATTAGTGAGACCTAGATTTACATATGGTGTAAAGTGATGAAATTTCTGGTAATATACAAAGCAGTTATGGACGATAGAAATATACAGGGGTGCCAAAAAAATGTATACACGTTTTAAGAGATGTTGTCTATGTATTACTTTTCAAAGTTGAATTGAATTATATAGCAATGTGTAAGTATGATGTTCATTCAAAAGATGACATTAATCAAATGAATGCTAGCATCATTCGTTGTATTATGATTTTAATACAGTTTTTCCTTTCTTAAACTATGGACACTTTTTTTGGCACCCTCTCTTTATGTTCAAATATTTAACTGATTTAAACAAAAGATAATAATTAATAGGGCATTATTGTAAATAAATAAATGAAAATCAAAGTGTCATATCATGACATGCCAATTTGCTGCATTCACATGAAAATTGAAAAGTACTGTTTTCTGTGGCCAAGGAATGGGAACAGTGGACACAGCTGACCCTATTCCCTTGCTGAGTGTCACCCATTGCTTTCTCTCACTCTATCCCTGTGCCTGGTCTTGAAAGGAAGGAGAACGGGGTGGGACATACATATAAGGTGAAACTCAGGAATAAGGCGATTCACAAATAACTTGGCAATAAAAAAAACCCTTAATGTTTAGTGATTATTTTAAGGCCTTATATAAAAGGACTTCATTAATATTTGCTACTCCAATTCTTTCCTAAGGAACTTTTAGTAGCTCATCAAGTTCTTACTTACGGAGATTGATTAATGGAGGTTTCTCATCCAGACTCAGCACCCTGGCCTTCTTGGTCCAAACCAGGTTTTGAAGTCTCTTTAATGTCCCCATCGATTCCACTGGGTCACCACCTGATTGTATGGCCTAGTCCAAACACAGCTCAAGGTAAAGATAATTTATTCTTCAGCAAAGATTAAATGTAAAATGTGTAAAGATCGTAAATATGGGAAAATTAATAATGTGCCTTAAAACCCACATGTACCGTCAGACAATTTAAGCAATAACTTGAAATCCCAGCACATTTTTGGGGGGTTCAGACTTATAAAATATATATTGCAATTGGCCAGTCATACTAAAGCAGGGCGTTTTTTTACCTTTGTTTTTTAACTTCAAAATGCCACAGAATGGCTTGAATCCAGAGTCATCTATAAATGACTCGCTTCTGCTCAATGTGAAATAGTGGAAAAGAACAAGGACTTTGTAGCATAATACGGATGGAGTGAGAGGTTTAAAGTTGCTACTTGTAAGCATTGGAATAGACTGATGGTGTGCAAAAAAGAAGCAGAGTTCAATTTTTTTTCATTTTCCTTTTGGAAATTCCTGGTAAACAGTATGTTATTTCAAGTGTGAAATGTTTTCACATAGGCTTTTCTCTAAGTAGCTGCGTGCTCTCTAGAAGATACTCAACAACAAAAACAAAAGCAGCCACAGATTACCATATTATGTTTTAGTATGTAAGTGTCATTGGTTTATTATGACAAAAAAATACCAATAAAAGAATTAGCATTGCCTTAATGATTCAAAGTTTCTTCAGCAAATTTAGAAATACTTCTCACTAGTTAAATGTTGGCAAATTTTTATTTATATTGCTTGTATTTATTATTTTTAAAGATTTATTCCTCTTCAGGATTTCAAATATTTTGGAAGTGGCTACTTTATGTGCTAAATTTTATACAAACTGGTAAAAAAATAGTTGTGTTCTGTTGTATGAACTCTATGTGAAGTAACACACAGAGGAATACTTCTTTTTCACCCAGAAAGCTCTGGACTCAGAAATATTTCTTCCCCTGCTTCTGCCTCATTCTTTGCATTAAATAGCTGATAAATAACATTAAATAGATACAGCAATTTTCAAAAGGCAAATGATTGCTTTCTCATTAATGTTTGAATGAGACATATTTATAATAGTGCTTTCCAATCCTTTGAGAGAGGCTATAAGCCCAAAGAAGTGTTTCAAAGAAAAGGATCTCTGGCATGCAAACATTTCTAATCATTATTTTCAGCTTTGATTCTTGGTCTTTGAGAATGACTTTGAGCAACCAATATAAACTTGATGTTCTGTCTCTGCATAATAGCACATAAGTAGGAAATGTGATGTTTTGTCAGAGCAAGCCATACCTGTTTGCATTAAATAAATGAGAAAATACTGAAATCATTTTAATCTTTCAGAGAGGACTGTGATAAGATATTCTTAGACAGGCAAAATCTTCCTTCTCTTTTCAAAGGTCATGCTCGGTTCAACACAGTTTCTATTGCTGTTTATTTTTGTATTATTTTCTCAGTATCCGTTTTCAATGCTTTCTGAGTTACTCCGTTTTGCACACCCCTTACAACTCAGGAAAAGCCATTTTCTTGTCTTTGGTCCCTTCCAGAAATAATAAGCTGACATTGCATAATCATCGAGCAACGTTTTTTTGGGTTTTTTTTTTTTGTTTTTTTTGCTGTGCCTCTTCTCTTACAGCACCTCCTCCTATTACAGCCAATTGCTTCATTGTTTCATTGAAACACTGGCACCATATACAGCCTTCTCGTTTCTCCTTCTTCCTTCTTTGGGAAAAAGACTCTCACTTGATTTGAGGAAAGGGGTTATATCCAGGGTAACTGAACTTCATATTAAAGATTTGCCCCTAGGAGGAATGGAAACATTTGTATATTGTCTAAATTCAGATGAGTGAGCGCTCACGCCCTAGAGGTGTTAAAACAAACTGACCCCTCATTATTTTGTTCAAATTCGATAATAACATTTTTAAAGCACAGCATTGGTAACTTTTGTATCTTTATTCACTCTGTCTTCTTTCAGTTAGTAGAAATCATCTACTGAATTTTCTTCATTTTTGAATCCCATATGCCTACAGTAATGGGTAGCTTAATAAATGTTTGCTGAATGTAAACACACTCCTGATTTTTATTTATTTACACACACACACACACACACACACACACACACACATATATATATATATATATATATATATATATATATATATATGTTTTATTTACCAAATGGGTTATCCACAGTAAATTTTTTATACCACACTGACTACTTTCTAATATGATAGCAAAGTATTTCTGGAAAGCCTTTTCTTGCTATTGGGTAGTATATACCTGAGGGATGAAAGTTACAGTTAAATATTATTATGAGAGGTATAGGATCATTATCTGTTGCAAAGAACTCCTCTAGAATATTTTCAAAATAATAATTTTATTCACAATCCCCTAATTTTTTACCTGTATATTTCTACTGAATTTGATTAAAATTTATAATAATGTGCCTTTTAATGTCTAGATGTTTTTTAAGAAGACTGGCCCATGAATTAAACTTACCATGCAACCAATCAACAAACTTTTATTGAGCACTTACTATATGCCAAGCACTGTCACATGATCTGGGGATATGGCATTGATAAGTAAGGTGAGACCCCTGCTTTCATAGAGTCTACATCCTAGAGGGAAGTAACATATCGCAAACATATAAACAAGAAAATGTGACATAAGACGTGCTATGCTAAGAATTAATAGGGTGGTTGGGCCAGGATGTGGGGGCGATGTTACAAATTAACTTTGAGTGATGAGGGTTTCATTGAGGATCCTGAAAATGAGACCTGAATGACAAGAAGGAACCAGACATGTGAAGATTTGGAGATGGTTTTAAATTCAGCAGGTAGTCAGAAAGGACACTTCAACTGGGACTTGAATGACAGAAAAGAGTCAGTCAGACAAATAGCAGAGAACAGAGAATTCCTAGAAGAGAATACAGCTTGTACAGAAGTTCTAAAGCTGGAATGCCTGGAAGAATTCTTAGTGTATGCCCAAGGATGAAAAAGAAGGGAAGAGTGTCATGTGATGAGGACACTGACTTAGCTAGGGGCTTTCGTAGAGCAGGCTGAGAAATATGTATTTTATTCTAATCAGGGGAGTGACACAACTTACTTTATGTTTTTATTCATCTTTCCTCTCTATTGAATTTTGATCACCTACCATTTTAAAAGACTTTTCCCAATAACATTCAAACGTGCTTTAATATCATCCATCTTTAATTCACCATGTTTTATTTACTACTCTTTCTACTCTGTTTCCTAGACATGCTTCTCTAAAAAAGTTAACTGTGTATGCGTCCTTTAATTTAATTCCTTTAATTTCTCATCCTTTCAACCCACCTTGTGTACTCATCAATCAGCTTTGTCTCTATTATTCCATTTAAATTGCTTTTGTGGTCCAATGAACCATTCTCAAACTCCATTACTACTTGATATTCAGCAATATTGACCATGATGACCTTCAGAAACACTGTCTTTTCCTGGCTTCTGGGATGCCATGTTTCCTGGTTTTCCTTTCACCAATTTTGGCTGTTTTTTCTCTAACTCCTATATGCTGACACCTCCTTTTCTCTCAAAATTAAATGCTTAAATTTCTAGAGAGCTAGCTCTTGGCCCTCATCTAATATCACCATCTTTCTCTTCTCATCTACATACGCACACACACACACACACACACACACACGGCTTTAATACTACTTGTATGATGATGATTTCTCATTTATGTGTGCAAGGCTCTCTTCAGAGTTTCAAACTCACATATCCAACTGTCTACTTAAAATGGTTTAGAAGCACAATCAGGACTGACCTCTTGGCCCCCAAATATGATTCTCATTTAGTCTTCTTCAACTCAGTGAATCCACCCTACTTACATTCCATAAAGCAGATGATCACCTTCGCCACGTACCTCTCCTTTGTTTATTTATATTTATTCCATGACCGAGTTTGGTTCATTCTCCAAAATGTATTTTTGAATCTGTTTCTGTTTCTTTCTCTCCATTTCCATTGTTGCCACCTTGGTTTAATTTTCTCTCACTGAACATGTTGCCAAGTCTCCAGTTGGTTTTCTTTTCACCTTTGCCTTTCTCCAGTTGATTGACAATATAATGTTAGTGTTGTCATTAAAAGATGTAAATCTGGTGATATCTACCTGGCTTAAATTACTACAAAATTTCCCAGTGCTCTTTAAATGAAATCCAAAATACTTAACTGGGTCTAGAAGGCCTATGTTTCTAGGCTCCCCTTATGCTTACAAGACACAGATCTGTAGGTTCCCAGTCTCCGGAGCTCTTCCTTTCTCAGTGTTTTTGTGTATGTAGCTCCCTCTGCTTGGAATGCTTATTCTCATTCTTCAGACCCTGTTAATTCCTACTCACTCCTGGAACAATAGCCTAAATGTCATCTTTTCAAAGAGACCTTTTCTTACTCCCAAGTTCAAATTAGGTCCCCATTCTTTTTCCCTTTGGCTATCACTGAAATCTCTGATTTATATTTTTGTGTCATCAGTTTAAATGTCCTTCTTCACCAATAGACTCTAAACTGAAGGCAGGTAAGGAACCATACTCTTCCATATGGGCACCATGCAGTATCCTTAGTACCTATAACACTATCGATAATTGATACTCCATGTGAATTAGTTGAAATAATGATATGAAATGAATAAATGAATAAAAGGATGAGGAATTGATTAAAATCTATCCAATCTTTGAAATGTAATGATGCAAAAAATGAGATTAGTAATTCAGAGATGAGAGGAGATAAAATTATTGTGCTTAGTTTACTTATTATTTTTCTCCATAAAAGTGGTAATTATATGTGAATATAAATTAGATATTTTCATATCTATATAGTACATGTATATACTATATCTTTCATATATAAATGTGTATATTTATAGTTCATTTTGCTCATATTCTTTAAATAATATAAAAATTTTGTTAGAAATGTTGGATTAAATACACCTCATTTTCTGACATTTTGCTTGACTATT